CACGCAGGCCGCGTGTGTGGCGGGTAAAAGGGGACCGAGCAGCCCCTCTCCATGTCTATCTATAAACACGTATGTATATGAATTAGACGTTTTCATCGCTCCAGCGGCCTTTCCGTGCGGCTTCTGGAAGGTGCTTTCCCGGGGGTCGGGAAAGCGGACGGTGCCCGGCGGCAGGACGTTTGCACGGCTCGCGGGGCAGGAGGGACAGGACGTGCGGATCTGGCCCCGCAGGGGTCCTGCCTGTCTCTCTATCCCCCCTAATCCCCTCTCTCCATCTCGCTGCCCTAGGTCTATTCCTCGGTGCCCGTGAGCAACATGAACTCGGGGCTGGGCTCCATGAACACCTACATGACCATGAACACCATGACAACGAGCGGCAACATGACCTCCAGTTCCTTCAACATGTCCTACGCCAACACGGGGCTGGGGGCCGGGCTGAGCCCCGGCGCCGTCCCCTACGGCGGCATGAACCCCTGCATGAGCCCCATGGCCTACACGCAGTCCAACCTCGGCAGAACGCGGGACGCCAAGACCTTCAAGCGCAGCTACCCCCACGCCAAGCCACCCTACTCCTACATCTCTCTGATCACCATGGCCATCCAGCAGGCGCCCAGCAAGATGCTGACGCTCAGCGAGATCTACCAGTGGATCATGGACCTTTTCCCCTACTACCGACAGAACCAGCAGCGCTGGCAGAACAGCATCCGCCACTCGCTCTCCTTCAACGACTGCTTCGTCAAGGTAGCCCGCTCCCCCGACAAGCCCGGCAAGGGCTCCTACTGGACCCTGCATCCCGACTCCGGCAACATGTTTGAAAACGGCTGCTACCTCCGCCGGCAAAAGCGCTTCAAGTGCGAGAAGCCGGCGAACAGCAAAGCCCCTCAGGAGGGCAGGAAAGATCAGGCTGGGGCTTCCAGTTCGAGCTCCAACTCCCCCCTGCACAGAGGCCACAATAAACCCGCGCAGCTGGACACCGCCACTTCACTCTCCAGCTCCAACCCGTCCACCAGCCCCCAGTCTATGGACCAGAGCGGATCGAGCACGGAGCTAAAGACCTCGGCCTCGGCCGCTTCCTCCACCATCAGCTCCGTCCCTGCCTTGGCCTCTGTCCCTCACCCCCCTCACTCCTTAGCCCATGAACCCCAGCTCCACCTCAAGGGAGATCCCCACTACTCCTTCAACCACCCCTTTTCCATCAACAACCTCATGTCGTCCTCGGAGCAGCAGCACAAGCTGGACTTTAAAGCCTACGAGCAGGCGCTGCAATATTCCTCCTACGGGGCCAGCATCCCCGGCGGGCTGCCCCTGGGCAGTGCCTCCATGGCGGGCCGGAGCAGCATCGAGCCCTCGGCCCTAGAGCCCTCCTACTACCAAGGTGTGTATTCCAGACCTGTGCTAAACACCTCCTAGCTCTGCACCCCCGGCCGGGGCCGACCCCTCTTCCTCTCCTCCCTTCCCCTCCACCCCCTTTCCTGGCTTATCTTCCCGTTTTCCCTCTCCCTGCAAAACCCGAGGTGTTTCCGCACTCTGCGTGCAAATGACTGTTACTTTCTGATTGTCTCGCAACGCGTTGTGTGTTGTTACAAACCACCACGACCTACTGCAAAGCCGGCCGCGTCCCACTTGTACATACCCCTCCCCGCGCCCCCGCCGCCCAGCCCCGCTTCCCGGAGATCGCCCCAAGCCTTTGCAGGGTGTTTCTAGAAAAGAAGAAAAAATTGTTGAGCTTGTAAACTACTTGTTTGTGCTTTCCGCCCCCTCGTCCTTCTCCCTTCTGTGCTCTATAATCTCATGTAAGTTTACAGGTATGTGGCAATACTTTAACAATACGGAGATGAAGAAGCGAGTAGACATTTAAGGCTTTTTTTAATTAAAAAGGCTTTGAAGGACAATACTGCTGTGAAGTAGCAAAACACTAAGAGAATCTCTAAGCAACAAGAGGACTATTTACTTTCTTGGATCATCCTTTTGATACTTGCAAAATAAACCTTCGGCTAGTACAACCCGCGTACACCCAGATGCTGCGGGCCGGATCCTACACTCCCGAGGGGACCAACTGGAGCTTTGGAGTGCAGGATGCGACCTTGATTTTCTTCCAAGTGTTACCTGTCTTGGGATGTAATATAAAGTTACAAGAGGTCACAGCCAGTTGGATATTTTTTTTTCCCTTCCCATCTGTTACTAAAGATTGCCGTTCATCAGGAACTCTCATCAACATGTGGATGACTTGCTTATTTAATTTAAGTGTCTCTTCATTGTGTACCAGCTAGAACTGTGTATCTATTTCAAGGTTATTTCCCACCTTCCCCAGGAAACGTTGACTATTACACCAACGCAAGGAAAAGAGGAGAGCTCTTTAATAAATTCCACGTCAATTTTTTTTTTTTTTAATTTTGTGGCCATTTAATTATCGCCATCGTCAGCTTGTTTCATCCAGTGTTAATGCACTTTCCACAGTTTTACACGGTGTTAGCATAGCCAGACGGGTTTTATTATTATTCCTGTTCGCTGTCTCAATGTTCTTAATTTATTGCATGGTTTATATTTTTCTTTCTTTACAGCTGGAAATTGCTTTAAATGACAGTTTAAAAAAAAATTACACGTGAATTTATGAAATTTTGTTAATTTTATAAATGTGATTGTAATTGAAAAATATTTTGATTTAAAACGATAACTGAGAATTTAATGCGTGAAGTATGTTTTTGATCATTTGCAGTTAAGGATTTAAATAAATCAAGTGTTAACAATGACGGGCTTCTGCTATTTTCTTTTAAAATTTTCGGGGCGGGTTAGGGAGGACGGAGCCATGTACCAGAAAAACAAACGTAGCGCTAAAGGGTGGATGTGAAGAAGAACCGTTTGTAGGACCAAGCTTGTGCGGAGGGCCGGGGGGCTGGGGTGGGGGAGGGCAGCAGTGCTGCGGGAAGGGGACTCCCCTGTAAGGTGTATTTGCGGAGCGCTGCGATGTCACCGATGTGTGATGTGCAGGTGTGTATGTGGTTGTGTCTTTTCTTTTGTTGTTTTGTTTGTTTGTGTTGTTTTTTGTTGTTTTTTTTTTTTAAATTCACTGTGGCAGAGTAGGTTGAGGGAGGGAATAAAAAAGCCACCCGAGGCGTTATAACCTCCTGCGTGCTTTGTGGCCGGGGCTGCCGGGGCGGTGGCAGCTAAACCTTGCTTTCCTCCAGCGGACACACAGGGAAGCACTCCAGCGCT